ACTTGGCCTGCCACACATTCAGAAAGTGCCTAACTTGACCGCCTCTGAGCAAAAGAGAAACAATTTTCTGCTTTCCCATCCATATAAGCTACCCTGAACAGCGGTATGCAACTGTGCATGCAAAAGTAGGTCCCATTCCCATTGCATTTTCAAAGGGTCTGGAGACTTGCGCAGTTTCTGCAGCCTCTGAAAACCACATGAAAGCAAGCCCAGTCCATGTGCAGATGCTCTGGAGGCCACGCAAGAGCCCATCCCATTCTTGGCCATGCTTTCACTTGTTGGATGTTGGTAAATGATGGCATGTGATAATGTATCATAGGCTTGCCATCACTGACTAAGGAGAATGATAGTGTGACATTTATGATTAGACTACTATGTTGTTTTAAACAATATACAATTGGAAAAAATAGTTATACTTTTCTGTTAGGAAGTAGAATTGAATCATAGGATCAAAAGAGATCCTATGCAGCTGGTAGGGGAAATGCTGTTACACAGAAACAGTCTAAAATTTATCACATGCAGATGTTTGGAGAGACCATCTCATCACCACCCCCATAAATCCTTACACCACACCTGAAGAAGTATTATACCCTAGGGCCATATTCCTTCAATTCAGCAAAAATCATATGGGAAATACTTGGTTATTATCCCTTAACTTGATTATGGTTGAATGTTGGCATTTATAAATTCCTACAACTACATACTGGACATTAAAATATAGGAAACCCATTAACCAGCAGAACCAGCTGCCTTATAAGAAACAGATCTCATCAAGATAGAAGAAATGTTTGTTAAAGTTTAACTTGCTTTTGAAAAAAAAAATACATTAAAAACCCTGAAGGTAACAGGGCTTTATATTTCTGAATTCCAGTAAATTAAGTTTGCAGACCTTGGCTCTGGAACAGGAATAGGTTTTCAGGGAACATTTTTAAACACTTAAAATACATGGAAAAAACCTGCCACAAACTACACTTCTTTTTTAAATGAATAAAAGGATTGGAATCCTTGATGAACAGCTGCAAAGGAAGATTATTCAAACTCAGTAAGGGACCCCAACTTTTCTTCCTTTCATTAAAAAACAAACTCAAGCAGAACACTCTTAAGGGTATATATATGCACAGTTGTTACCTTCGACTAATTCTTCACCAAATGCTTTCTGTTCATTCTAAAGTGACTGATGAAACTGCACAGTAGGATTGGGAGCAAAAAGGCTATTATACATTTTTCTGATTTTCTTCACAGCGATCAAGAATGCTGCTAATAAAGTCCTGTACTTGTCTCTGTTTGAAATAGGTAAATTGGAAATACAATCTGTTCAAATTGGATTAGATTGAGAAAGATTTCATTAGAAGGAACAACTCTTGCATTTCATGTGTTCAACTTCTTGATACAAACCTTTCTTCCCTATTGTATAAATATCTTTAGATAATTTAGAGTCCTGCCCACCTGCTTTTCCTGCCCAACTGCTTACAAGACTATTACTACAATAATAATAAGAAACTATTGATGAAAAAGCAGAAAAGCGCTTTAAGCACGGCATTTATCCGAATGTCATGCTCATAGGAAAGACTGACAGAAGCAGCAAAAGGATAACGTTCTTGCAGAATTTCTGAGCAACTCTTGCATTAGTTCTTCCTAATGATGTAATTCTAACCATAACATAGCAAACTTCAGGAAACTAGCAGTTCAATTTCTAGCTCTTGAACTGACGAGATTGTTGGTATCTACCGTAGAGGAACTCAAGACATCACCATAACAATATCGTCTCAAACTCATCCCGGGATAAAGTGGGATAAAGTGTGATGAATCGAAGAAAGGTACAGTTGCTTCTATCAATCATAAGCATAAGGATTTGTCATCATGGCAACAAACTCAGCCTACAAAAAGTGTAGGAGTGAGTAAATCCACCATGGCTTCTTCATTCAGAGTAGTGTCTCTTGCTCCAGTTCTGTTTTCGAAACTTTCCAAAAACTGGACAATTTGGATAGATAATGCTATATAGCATAGCTCAGGATCCATTCGTTTACAACACAAAATTCATGTGCTGCTAATTCACAGGCAGTGGTTTTCACAGCAGTTAATTGCAAAGTGCAGACTGAGTCAAAAGAGTGTCAAGTAATAAAATGCTAGATGTATCAATCAAAATCCCAGTTCTCCACCAAGTACAGTTTGCTCATATATTGATTTTTGCAACACTGTTATGACTAGGGACACAGCAGGGCCTTAAAGTAAGATAAGATGACACATGAACTTTGATCACAGCTGGATTAGGACAAGATCAGAACAAAAATAAAGGCAGATTCCAATAATATATCCAAGAGTTTGGGTTTGGTTTTTTTAAGCAGTCAGTCTACTAAAAAAATAAAAACATTTAGGAAAAGAGTAGATTAACAATTTTAAGACTTCTCAAAGCTTTAGAGCCAGTTCTATTAAAAAATAACATGCAGTAATGGGGAATAGCTGGAGCTCGGGTGTAGGATGAGGATGAAAGGTCATTCTCCGAGCTTGTGGGCTGGTTTCCAAACATTTTGTTACCAGGTTAGATAACATCTTCAGCAGAGTTTAGGGGATGTCAGCATCAGTGTTCTTCTGTTTATAAGGGCTTCATGTGGTCAGTAGGTCTTGTGGTGAGATCCAGCATGCTCTACTTGAGTATATCCATAAAAAGGGACAAAGTGACTTTTTTTTCTCATGTCGGACTAGGATTTATGCAAGTCTGACTTGGCCAAAAAACAAACAAACACCCACAATCTATTTTCAGTTCCTCAAAGGAGCAGCTTAAGGCCACAATTCTATCAGCATTTACCTTGGAAGAGAATCTCATTTAATGGATATTAATATGATTGGACCATATAGAGAAAATGGGACTTTAATACCAGGGGAATTACTATGGGTACCAAGTTACACATCTGCATTCCAGGAAATGAATGCAAATCTGGAAAACTAAACTAGAATTTGGATTAAAAACAAAACTTTACTTCTAAAGAGCAAAATATTTCTCATTTTGTCATTAAATGTTCACAATAAAATGAGCTGATTAGCTGAGCTAATGTTTGGTTCAGACATCCCAAATAATATCCAACTATCAAAATGACTGCCAACTAAAGAAATATAAACAGGTTTAGCCAGCTAAGGCAAATAACAATGAGAAATAATATGAAGGATAGCATTTATATTGTATGTGAGATGAAAAGGGAGTGGGGGGATTTGATTTCCAAAACAAAGATAATCTTTGGGAAAAGTTCTGAAAACACATTTAAAAATTGTGAAATACAAGGGATTTTACAGCAGTGACAGGTATATTTAAAATATTCAACTTTAAAAACATGATAGACAATGCTGCTGAATTACAAATGTCTTTGAAAGCAAGATGTCTTAAGTTAGTAATAATGGCAAATGCGCCACCTATCAGCTACTAAGGGACATTACAGTTTTATAGCAGCCAGAGGTCAAGACATGAAGGTCAATACAAAGCAGACATTTCTAATACTTTTTGTTGAACTAAGTCAATCTTACTAGGGAAAAAAATCTGTACAAGACATTTTTGCTGCAGGGATGAAAAATGAAGCCTGTTTAAAAATAAGGAAAAACATGCCAAAAACTAAAAATAAGTTGTGTTGCAATCATTATTAATATCTGTAGTACATCCTAGTACCCTGTTTCTCCAACAATACGGCCTCCCCCAATAGGAAGTCCCAGCATGTTTTATAGGCATGAAATGAAATTAAGCCCCTCCCCCCAAATTAAGGCCTATATTAAAATATGCGAAATGGGGGGAAATGGCGGGGGGGCCCTTGCTGTTAGGAAGTACTTTTGTTGCACACCCAGATATGGTGCTGCCTGCGTTGACCCTGATACAAAGTGCCCCACCAACGCCGAGGTCAACATCCAAGCTGTCGCCGCCCGCCCTAAGATGCAAGGGGGGGGGAATTAAGTCACCCCTGAAAAGACAGCCTAGCCGTTTTTTCGGGGCTCAAAAAAAAATAAGACCGGGTCTTATTATATGAGAAACACGGTAGAAGCAAGAGATAACTGTTGAAAATATCAATTGTTAGCTCTAAAAGACTATTGAAGTTAACGGTTCTTTCACCTATCTGCATATCAGTGATGGTCTCTAGGAAGGAAGTAGCACTCACAAGTGCCCTTATTTTCCCGGTTTGCTTTCAGAGAAATAAACAGTGGATGAATTATTTGTTAATATTTCAATATGACTTTCAACTGCAAGGCAGTTATAATGTGTTTAAAGAAACAGTTGTGCCCCTCTCCGTATATAGGAGCTGAATCAGCAAAATTCCAACTTACCACACCACACAACAAGGTACATATATCACTGTATACTGTGGCCCTCATAAAGTGATTAGAGAGGTGGAAGGAATCATCACTCTTCCACAACTAAGATTAAATAGTCCAATATAAGAACAAAAGTAAACAAATGGAGAAGGGAAAGGATGAACAAAAAACACCCCGGGGTAAATTGCTGGACAGGATGCATGAAACATCATGCAATTTTAATATTTGGATACCAACTTCTTTTTTGGAAGCAAAATCTATATATAGACAACCAACCCATGTATAAAGAAGCAAGCCTACAAATAGGTGTACCTCTCTTTTAAGTTATTAAACTGGGATGAAGCCTATCTCACCATCTAAATATATTCATAAGGAGAACAGGAAATGGAAGCAACCTCACAACATGGATAAACCGGTATGTGACTCGCACCTCAAGGTAACAATTGCAAAGCAAACAAGTTGGAAATCTGGAGTTGAACAAGCAAAAAGTTGCATAGACAGACTTGGGAGGAGGTCCATTAATAAGTTATTTATATATGTTGTTTATGTTTAAACTTTTCAACATTTTTCCTTTGTAAAAAGAATTAAGTGTGGAAGACTGAACAGCCCTAGGATTAAACAACACTGCTACCGTTCAAGTACAAACAGAAAAATCAATCAAACTGTAAATCAGATGCAAGGCCAAATAGAAGTAAAGTATCACAACTCACCAGAAATCATGTGCAAATCAGATGCCATCCCCTTGCTTATCAGTTCATACTGGAAGCCTGTAATCTTCCTACTAATGTCCTGCTGAGGGGTAGCCTCAACAAAAAGGCCACCTTGGTCAAAGTTGAAGCAATACACACTGGTAGGACTATGATCTCCCTCTTGGACCAGTAGTTTTAGTTCTCCAGTTTTTTCCAAATAAATATTTGCTCCTGCAGAGTTCTTATAAGGTTTTATGCAAACAGTCCAATGTTTGTAAGAGGAAGAGATAATATTGGGTCGCAGATTGACGATCAATGCTCCGGTGGGATACATCCATTCTATGGTTCCTTCAGAACAACGGAGGTAGACTTGTTCAACATCTTTTCTGTGGGACTCGTGAGTTAATCCACTATGAAAAAAGAAAGATAGAGACATTATAATAGAAGTGCCTTGATTTATTTTACAAGAATATTATTTGCACTCAGACAAAAGCTACTGCAAAAGACTTGAAAGACGATTGTGGAAAACTACAATGAAATAATGGCTTCAGGCTTTTTTAAGGGTTTAGAAAAGCTTCCAATTTTATTAAGTTGTATTGGCTACTTGCCTCAAATAGCCAAATTAATCAAGTCTGCTAACATCAAGTCCATTCCAAACCATGGAGTAATGTTCAAATTAAGTCCTTCCATAAAATAAATTAAGCAACAAGACCAAACTGTTCATGAGAAAAATGGATTAGATACAACTTTCAGCCTCAAGTTCAACCCTATGTGACAATCCTGCCAACCAACATGAGAATGCATTTATGTACCATAATCAGTCATTAGATTTCCAATAGATTGCATTAAAAAGCTGTCAATGCAATTTTAATAATATAAATGTTAATGTTAATCTTCTGCATAAATTAGCTGTGGGAGATACAATTTGGAGTGTGGGGAGAAAACAAGGGACAACATACAATTATTATTTGAAATAAAATGCTTGCCATACTGGAGATGCAACAAAATATACTGTTCAGAGGTTTCATGGGAAAACTTCAAGAAACTTAAATTTTAATCATTAGCATCATCATATTATAAATTTATTGGCTGGAAATTAAGTTTGTCAAGCACATCAAGAGCTGACAGCTTGTGGAAGAATGAGCTAGTTCTTGATCTTCATGCTCCTCACTGATTTCAGAAGTGCAACTCTTAATAGAACATCTGAGATACCGCCAGTTTTAAGTGTTAAAAAAAAGTGGTGGGTCTGTTGGTGTTTATGGTTACAGATTATAAGAATACTCTTCTCAAAATGTCAATGCATTGTTGTGGCAGCAAGTTAAACTCAGAACTGAATCAAGAACACTTCTCAAGGCACCAACTGCTGGTCCTACCAATTCTGGTTTCCTGATCACCTCCATTAATCAAATGAGAATTATAATTCAACCAAGCCTGTAGGACTGTTGCATGGCTGAATATTACAAAGAGCTACAGTAAAGTCCTACTTGAAAGTGTGAATTTGCTATTTATTTCTTCACAATAAAGTCAATGAATTTGGCTCAGAAACACACTGTTTGTTCCAAAACACAAAAAGCTTTCCAGTGCAAAAAATTGAGTCCTGAAACTCATTAATCCACAGACAACCTATACTTTATCGATGGCCTTAATAATGTAATTTCCTGAATGGAAGAAGTTCCCAATTCAAAATACCATGGATTATTTGAAACCTCTCCAATGCCAAAATGGGACCTTTCAGTTTGAAAGAAAAACAAGAGAGTATTCATGCTTTGAAGTTTTTAGCAATATGTGACTCTGGAACTAAGCACACAAGCTTTTCTTGTGACTAAAAGGAAAGAGTGCATTGTTTTCATTGAAGCTAATAATATCAAAGAAACTATAAAGGAATAAAGCAGAATTAAAAAGACAAGCAAGTCAGGATACAAATCCACCAAGTTCCGACTGAATAGATGATTCACAATACTGAATGCATTTCAAGACAACTTGAGTTGACTTGGCTAAAAGCTCATGACCTAGTTAAAACTGTCAAGAGTTGGTGGAGATAAGAGAGCTCTCTATGGCTTGAAAGATTTGGTGGAGACAGAAAACATCTGCTTAGACAGGGGTTAGATGATTCATTACCAGAAGGTGTTAAGAGGTCTGATGGACTAACAAATCTTCCCTTTCCGGATAAATATGGTGATATCAAATGTCTGAACTAAGAACAAAGCAACTTCTCTAATCCACATTTATATATAGCCATTTCCAGGACCACTTGCCAAATCATCTCATGTTCCTGTTATCTGCTGTATGCAAAGAATTATTCAAAGTATTAAACCAAGCAAGTGCCCATATTTTGAAGCAAACCTGCATTGACTTTCAGGGTGCAGAAGAAGCTATTGACACTCACCTTGAGTGTTACATATATAAAATGACGTTGGTTTGATTTCAAGGCAAGAATAAATGACCAAAGTTCTTACACAAACAAGACAACCAAAAATCATAACTTACTTCCTTTCCATTTGCTGGTAGAAGACTATTAATCCATGCAGTATTTTAGTTTTACCTACATATGTAAGGTAAAACTGTAAGGCCATATAATTCATTTTAAGGCAGTTAGCCTTAATGGAAAAACTTCAGAATTACCTAATCCCACCCACAGACAAGAAATTGCCTTGTTTACTTCCAAACCAAACCAAGATATGTCAACAGTATTCATTCTTACAAAGTGAAACATACATTGACAGAGACAGTAGTTATGAATATATATATATATAACTGTGGTTCCCCTTTTTGTTCAGAACAATGTTATTTATATCCACTAATGGGAACTTCAGGCCTTTCTAAGACCAGCCTGCTACAGGAACAGCTTGACAACTTAGAAAAAACAGGTTTGGTTGTATTTTTTTTTAAAGAAGAACTTACTTTAAGTGGAAGGCCTGGCTGGCATTTACACCTTTGTTATCATTCAAATCTTTTAACTTTGAAGGCCGGATACCACAGATTAGTGGCAGCTTGTACTTTAGACCTCATCTGCTGCCACAGTAACAAATATAACTTCTAAAGTTACACAGCCAGAAAGAATAGGCTGTAATCCTTCATACAACAATGGGATAATCACTGTATAAAAACCCTTAGAGAAAAAGTGCCAGAATTTTGAAGATGGGCAATTAGGGCTGGACAAAAAGCCTTCAGAATTCAGAGTTGTTGTTGCTGGCCAGGGGATACTGAAAAGTGTAGCCCAGTGCATCTGCAGGGCACACAGCTATCCTAGGATATGAGAAGCTCAACTGCTTGATTTTGTTTAAAGTCTAATTTTAAAAACTAACCATTCTTAAGAATTCTCACGTACACATTAATGCCTGTTTATTCATCACGAGTCTCGACAGATTCTAAGCAGAGACACCAGCTCATGTTAGATAGAAGAAAGAAACGCTATTTTGCAGCATCAAGTAATGTTGTCAGAAGTTTGTGCTCCTCTTGAAGAAAAATGGCGAGTCCCTCTCATCACTGGCCCTGCTGAACTTGCCTTTCCAGAAGGCCAAGCTGAATTTGTGACCTATTTATCCCTTCATATTCATTAGCTCATTCTTGTTTTTTATTTATAATAGCAGCCTACTGGATTTTAATGAAGGCAATCTTGACAACCTGAAGTTGTGTGCAGTGGTGTATTAACCATGAAGCAGACTAAGCACATGCTTAGGGCACCAGGCCCAAAGGGGGCACCACAAAGTTGAGAATACGGCTTTGTGTGTACAGTATGTACAAAAAAGGGGGGCACCAAGATTTGTCAGTGCTTAGGGCACCAGTGAGCCTTAATCCTCCACTGGTTGTGTAAATTTGAAGTCCACACATCTTCAAGATGCCAAGGTTGAGAAACACTGGATTAAGGACACACTGGCAATACTTTGGGGATGTGGGGGATGTTTTTGAGAAAGGGGAGAACACACACACACACACACAGCACTTGCTGGAACTAAATCAAACTTTTTTTTTCTCCCCCAGGATCACAAAGCTGCTGTAAAAGGCAACTATGTGATATTAAGAAAAACACAACTATTTTAAGGAACTGCTGAGAAGGGCTGGATGAACCTCTCCATGAACACTGAAGCCCCTTTAAGCCTCCAATACTGAAGTATTGCAAGGCATTATCATTATCAAAGCCCATGAGTAAGATATGAAGGCAATAGTCATCTCCTACTATTGCTCCTTACTGACTAGGATTCAGAAACATATATGCCTATTGCTGGACATCATGCATCTTAATACATTTAGAAAGATAGAAATAGCCATAAGGAAAAACTTCCATACAGCTAAACCCATACAGCAGGAATCCAAAGCAACGTTCCTAGTCCTACCTAGAGGTGCCTGAGATGAGACTTAAAAACATGAAGCTTAGATTGCTATGGCCAGCAGAGTATTGTGACTTATACCACAGCCACCTGTTTGGTCAATTCCATCTATTTTTCAGACATCTGATGTTTTCTTGTGCAATTGCAAGTATCCGCAAGCATGCGTCATTCCCAGAAACTAAAATATTAAATGACAGATTGGGGAGGGGGGGGGAAGTGTTGGGTAAGCCCCATTACAGGGAAGTGAGTCATGCTGCTCACACACATCCCTTGTGGCTGGCATTCAGGACACTGACAAGCCCAGAAGAGAGACTTCATTCATCAGTAGAGTAATATATTAATGGTTTAGTGTTGCAGCTGAGAGACAGATATAAATCGGGAATACTGCCTCTGTCCTTTATTTTATGAAGTGAGTTTTAGCAAGTCGTGCTCTTTAGGTTGCTCCTCCCCCAAATAATATTTCCATTTTATGTTATGGAAATATTGTGCCACTAATTTTAGGAAGAGATAATTCAGACAAGGATATGGCCTTACCTCCACACAATCTTGTTAATAATCACACCTGAATCAAATGTGATAGTATGACATTTTAAAAAAGAAGTCTTGGGAGACATCTACAAGCCAATGCCCATTTTCAAAAAAGGGGCATATATGTGATCAAATCCATGCATGCAATGTGCATTTATGAACTTCAATTAAAAGGAAAATCAGGCATGAAAGATATTGTTCATTCAATACATGAGCAAACAGAAAATGGTTCCAAGAATTTTTGGTCTGGAATATTTTTGGTCTAATAAGGACACAGAGACACAAACTCTTTAACATATTTTCAACATCTATAATTATAGATATACAAAATAAGTTCAAGTAAATTTGTGAATCATATGAAGTGTAGATTCAGTGGCTACAGCAAGTTTTGTGTAGGAGTCCACAACTAATTTCAAGCAATACATCATACTGATCTTGGGAGAAGTTGGTTCTACATTGATTAGAACTCTGCTGCCAAAGAATTGTTTACTTTGTTACACCAAGCAATTGTAGCAAATCATACCAACAGGAATATGGCAGCAAAACTTTAGATGGTTCCCTATATTAGCTGAACTGTGTTTTAGGTACAGGCCTTGTAAAATTATCTCATGACATTCAACAAGTGTTCCCTGTTTCAGGGACTTATCTTTCTAGATAATGGAATTATTTTGCTACAGGGCATGTGACAATTCTTAACAGGTGAGATAATCTGTGATAGCTAGAGTTCAATCTTTCCCCAAAGGATTTCCAAAAAGAATTCTCTCTTCCATAAAACAAAGCAAAACACACATGCACACCTGAAAAAACTGATCCTCATCATTTAAGCCTGGGGCTACTGCCCTAATATTGCCTTTTCAGTTTGCATAAATCCAAAGAAATCATTCCTTGTCATTCTACTTGTTTAAATATAAATTGCTTTGTAAACGTCAAATACAGGTTGCAGCCATGGATTAATGACTAAATGAAAGCCTTTTCAGATCTACAGCAGATTTCTGAAAACCATAGGACAAGATTTAAAGTACAGGTAGGTCCTTAACTTATGATCACAATTGAGCCCAACATTATGTTGCTAAGAGAGACATTTGTTGAGTTTGCCTCCTTTTATGACCTTTCTTGCCACATTTGTTTTGAATCACTGCAGTTGTTTTGAATTAGTAACACGGTTGTTAAGTGAAACTGGCTTCCCCATTGACTTTGCTTTCCAGAAGGTTGCAAAAGGGGATCATATAACCCCACGATACTGCAACTGTCATGAGTGAATTGCCAAGCCTCTGAATTTTGATCACCTGCCTGTAGGGATGCTGCAATGGTCATTAAGTGTGGAAGAACGATCCTAAGTCACGTTGTAATTTGAACATTCACTCAACAGGAACTGTTTGTTTTAAGCTGAGGACTACCTTTATCACTGAAAGGGGTGGGAGGAAGGGAGTCAGATGCAGAGAAAAATGTAGAGGCTAAGGGGATTTAAAGATTTCACAAGCATGACGATTAACATAGCTGCGACAGCTAAGGAATTATGGCCAAGAGCTTTCTGTTAGCAATCCTGATTAAAATCTAAAGTAGCAGGGGTGACGTTATGCCACAGGTGTAAGAGAGACAGAGGCTCAGCTCCGAACATTTTATGAGATCTGTGTTATACAATATAGCAGGTGAACTCCAAAGGAACTCAGGAGAATCTTAACTAGCCTCTCTCTGGAGACCTCCTTGCCCACACATAGACACACCAGTTTTACGGTTTCCAGGGAACAACTTCCAAATGTACACAGCAAACATCCAGGTTTCCAATCTGAATAAACTATCTCCCCACCAAAACAGAAACCAACTTCAGTAATCCAAGGCGTTTTGAGGAAATAAACAAGCCCGGGTGCTAATTCAGGTATTAATGAAAAGGCAGGTCTATTGAGATGACTGGTTAAAAAAAGGGGGGGGGCTATATGCTGGCAAAGGAGAAAAAAAAAAAAACCCAGCGTCACAACTTTGATAAGGGCGAAACAATCTTTACACATTCGCAAACACGCCGATTATAAACCCTTCTCCGTTTTTCCCCTCTCAAAGGCGACTGGCAAAGCCTCCCCGAGTTACGCTGAAGTTAGTACAACAAACAAACCAACAAACAAAAGGTAGCAGGTCACCAAGTTTAAAGTATGTTATTCTGGCGTTGAGTTGCACAGATGTGGAGGGTGCTGCGGTGGCCAGGAGAGAAACTCTACCTTTGTCTGCTGAGCGCTCTCCGGCTTCCCTTTCCCCCCCGCCCCCTTTCCTTCGCTCGTTGCTTTGGCAATATACTCATCCTGAACACTCCTGGAATGTTAATCAAAGTGTCCCTCTCCTTCTTCCTTCCAATAAATCAGAGCAAACAGCCGAAGGGGGGGAGAGAAAAGATTTCTTTTATCCCTCTTGCAACAATCAAATCCATGTGTCCTGGAGCTTCTGGAGCTAGCAAGCCCACGCGGAACTATACGCCCCCCTCCTCCCTTCCCTTCCCGAACGAAACTTCTCCGAAGAAGCGGTTTCGAGGACAGCTAGGATTCAACACCCACCCCCTACTCCCCCAACACGCACCCCCGACAGCTCTGGGATGAAGTGGGGGTGGGGGAGCGGGAGTGGGGAGGAAGAGAACCAGCTCTCTTGGATCCAAGATTCCCAAGCTTGGCATTCGTTTCGCTGTGAACCCCACTCAAATTCTCCGATCGCACAAGAGGGGAATTTTCCCCTCCTTTTTTTTAAGGAAAGAAAAAGAAAAAAAACGACCCCCCACAAAGTAGGGTTTCGGCCCTCCCCCCCCCCCCCCCCCCCCCCCCCCCCCCCAATAAAACGAAGGAGAGATCCTCAAAGGGTCTCTTTAAAAGCAGCGTTAATCGCCTCCGACTTAGCAACGCCATCCCAGAGAAAAGGAAAATGGGATCGAGCAAGAAAGGGGGGAGGGGGGTGTCCTGAAGTCTGGATTCCGCAGGAGCGCACCTTGATCCCAGGAGCTGGGATATGCCCGGACAAAGACCCAACCTTTTTGGAAAACACACCTTACAGCGGCGGCAGGTCCGCCAACTTCACGCAGCCCCCCTTGCCCAGCGAGCTTCTTCTTACCTTCCTCTCCAACTGCACAAGTCGCTCGAGTATTGCGCCGTGCAGCCCCTGTCCAGTACCAAAAAACCCAGCAGCAGCAACAGCGGTGACGGCGGCGGGAGCAGCAGCCCGGGCGCCGGGGCTCTCCGCATGATCCCCGCCGGGCTGCCCTTAGAACGGATCCAGCAGAGGAGGGAAGAGAGAGGAGAGCGCCCGTAGCCTGCGCTTACATGGCGAGGGAAACTCAAACCGCTAGCACGAACCCATCCCAGCCGTCCGGCCACTCGGCTCAACAGTGCCCTCGCTCTCCTAGCCGGCGCTCGCTCCGCGTCCCAAGCTTAGTGGAGGGCGGGGGAACCGCTGCGCCTCGGAAACCACCCACTCCAGAGACCGCGGCTAAAACCGGCACTGGATTTCTTTGTACGGAGCGGGTTCCGTGCCCTCCTGGCCTTCTTAACTTTGCTTTTCTAACTAAACCCGAAAAAACCTCGCTCTCCGTTTTTGGAGTGACGGCAGCCAGTTGAATACAGCTACCGACGGCTTTCCTTATGGGGGGGACCTCGCAGGCCTCGAGACCGAATTTTAAACGTTCACTGCTCGGCTTTTGGGTGTTTAAAGAAAGAGGAAGCTAAGAATGTTGGAACTTCTGCTAGGAGTGTGTCTCATTTTTTAAAAAAATTGCGGATTGTTTAAAATAATGAAATTAAAGGCGGTCTGTGATATGAGAAGGGAGAAGCTTTGACATTAAAAAACAAACAAACAGAGAAGCAACTGTGAAGAGGGGAAAATGCAGCTGAGGGGGAAATGCATGCCAGCTTATAGCTTCCCTTGGTACAAGAAGGGCAAAACTGAGGCCAAAATCCAGGTCTGCACATCACAAATGTTCACCACAGAGAGCAGACAAGGATCAGGAGCAAACAAGTCCATCCCAGACGTACAAAAGCCCAGTAGGGTAATGCTAGTGATCAAAGCTTCAAAGTTATTTCTCTTTTAGTACTTCTGCATTAACTATACAGTATAGAATGTACCAAAAGTTAGGCCCCATAGACTACTTGTTATATAAACGACATTAAGTATTTGAATTAGTTGCCACTTTCTTTCAAACATTTCCTTACTTGTTAACATCAGGCCTTTGACATTTTTAAGTACAGTAACATTTGCTCTGAAAAAAGTTAATAAATATATTACAATTGGCCTATGACGGGGGTGACAAACTCATGTTGTCACAGTGGCGCATGTGACATAGCGTGACTTTTTTCCCCTTCATTAAACCGGGCGTGGGCGTGGCCACCGTGTGATGCATCTGGTCTATGGGCCGGGAGTTTGACAGCCCTGGCCTATGGGGACAAAGGATTTGGTACATCCCTTTTATCAGCAGTGGGTAACCTTTTGGGGCTCCTGTGCCAAAAATTGCGTGCACGCTTGTGCTCGCATGCCAGCACCCAGAAGGCAATACACATGTTGTCCCCTGTGCATGCACGTGTGATCCTCCCGACCCCTTGCTTGTACTGCACCTCCCAGCTGATTTTCCACCCGTTTTTCAGCCTGCCAGAGGTTTGAGGGAAGCCTTTGCAGGCTGAAAACTGGGCCTGTTTCGTCACTTCTGGTATTTCCGGAAATACAGGAAGTGACAAAACAGGCCTATTTTTCGGCCTGCAAAACCTGCAGAGGCTTCCCTCAAGCCTCTGGGAGGCCGAAAAAGGCCCAAAAATCAGCTGGGAGGCCGCGTGCATGTGCAGTGAGGTAAGTTTGCCTGGGGCTTGCATGCCCGCACAAAAGATTCTGCATGCCATAAGTTCGCCATCACGTCCTTATATTGTTCCTTTTTAGAAAAATGATTTATTATACCCAAGCAAATGTTTTAACCATCAAGGCTGCTGCAAATAAACCCCTTTCTAACCCTGAAGACTTATGGTGCCATGGTTAAATTGGTATAAAATATGAAATTGCACTTGCTCAATGACTTTCTTTAAACAAAAAAAAAAGTGGGGGGGGGGGTTTGTACATAGACATGTAGAAGCAGTTGTAATGCTGAGGAGACTCCCAGATGGTTCCAGATCCAATTACAGATAGTCCTTGACTTACTACAGCACTTAGTGACTGTTTGAAGTTACAACAGCACTGGAAAAAAGTGACCTATTACTGTTTTTTGCACTTATGACCATTTCAAACTGACAGGCTCAAAGTTAATCAGTCTTCCAACCTTCCAAGGTTGGTAAAATGAGGACCTATGGAGCAGGATATAAATGTAAGTGCTATTGCTATTGCAGCATCCTCATGGTCATGTGTTCAAAATTGAGGTGCTTGACTCAGATTTATGACAGTGTCCTGGGGCCATGTGATCACCTTTTGCAACCTTTTGACAAGCAAATTAAATGGGGAATCCAGATTCACTTAATTAACTGCAGTGATTCATTTAACAACTATGGCAAGAAAGGTTGTAATATGAGAGAAAATTCATTTGACAACTGTCTCGCTTAGCAACAGAAATTTTGGGGTCAGTTGTGGTCTTAAGTCAAGCACTACCTGCATTAATTAAACTGATCCCTCTTGCAACCACTGTGATCAAATCCCAGTAGAGGGTTGCTTCCACTGTTCTGTGGCATTACAAAGTTTGTTGTGAATACTGAACTTCCTATTTGCACTGGGAGACTTTAGATGTTCGCTGGGGGAGGGGAGGGACAATTGATTCGGCACATCTCTGACCATTATATCTGGGCATCAGCATGCAGTTAAGGAGAAGTGGCTTGACAAATTGCCATTCTGAAAAGCACCAACACTTGAACACAAAACTGAGTGGGAAGAATGAAACTTTAGTGGAGCAAATGATGGTGTTTGTTGTGACATCATCATGCAAATTATATTGATAAATCTGATAAATAAATCTATGTACTTACCTTCGATTCGATTTTATAGCATGACTGATGACTTGATGCATTGCTGAATGAGGCACATTTGATGATTGGCAGAAAAGTCTCAACTTACTGAATCTTACTCAGATTAAGATCTTCATTTTAAGAAACGCAACTCTCAGTATACTCATGTCAGTTCATCAGATAACATGTTCATTGGTATCAAAAGTTGGTGAGATGTTAGATTAGAATAAGCAGAATTGAATCTTCCGGTCTTTATTTCAGCAATTATTATCCATCAGGGAAAGGAAGGCAGGTTCAATACCATATGGGATGACATTAGAATAAAACAGATCAAAACAATTGGTTTCCACTTGAAAGTACTATATTCCACTATAAAAATCATATCTATTTACAAAGAAAGTACCCGCTAATTGAATCTATTTACAACACTTGCTAATCAAATCAACCACAAGTGGCTGTCCACACTTATTGTACTAAACCATATCATATTTCTTGCTTAATTTTCATTCAGAATATTGTGTCATCCCAATCACTGTGATTCATAAACTCAGCTAATTGGACAAACTCTTTTTAAACAAACTGTAGCTTCACGTGTGCTCATCAGTGAACAGATATTGATCTCTGCAGGAATAATTTATAAGTGGTAATCTGCAAAAAAAATCTGATTCACCAGTGAGGCACATTCTATTTCAAGCTCACACAGTAAACTCAATTTTTAATGAAAAACAGGCAGGTACAGTTTCTGAGTCCATTTCTTCAAGGTCCACTTCTTATTTGTGAAGTGTATACAGTTTCTTCCTGGATATTTTTACTTATATTTTACTTGTGTTTGTCCACACACCTATACAAACAGCTTCCTGATGTAAATAAACAAGCCCAGTTAAAGATCTGTTTCTGAACCTGGAGCAAGAAGACACTTAAAATAATGTTGATGTGGAATCTGAAATTATGCAGTTGTGACTGTTTAAAGTATTAATTGTGCAATTAAATAGCATCATCAACATGCTATTTAAAGTTGGTCTTAATTTGTGACTCAGTGCATCACAGAAAAAAACCTGATTGGCACAGGTATTGTTTAAAAACATCCCGATGGATTCAACATATACATGTATACTAAATAGGAGTCGGAATTGCATGGCAAAAGAAGATTGGTGGAGATGAACATGTATGGCCAATTACACAATACCATTATAAACCTTAACTGCAGAAGGTCACCACTATTCTAACTTTTTAAACTTAACAATGCTCTCAAAATGAGTTAAAAGGAAGTGAGAACCTTCTATAAACACTATAAGCAATTTGCAATGTCAGCATATTGTTCCCAACAATCTGGGTCCTCATTTTACTGACCTCGGAAGGATGGAAGGCTGAGTCAACCTTGAGATGGTCAGGATTAAACTCCTGGCAGTGGGCAGAATTAGCCTGCAATACTGCATTCTAACCATTCTAACCACTGTGCCACCATGGATGTTGGAAGGTGTTGCAGAAACAAGGCAAGTGCTTGTAAGGAATGAAACTATTATTATCTATGTCACTGTGGCATGAATGCTGAACAACTTTTTGTTTTAAAATCATACTAGATTGTTCAGAAAAGTGTTGTTTAAATAACTGCAATAAAAAGAACAATAACTACAATTCAGACTATAAATCCCATTATCCCTACCTGGTGTTTTCAGTGACCTGCCAGCTGTGGATAATGAGTATTGTAGTCCAGGAAATATGGCAGGCACCACCTGAAAGAAGAGCTGAAGGAAAATCAAAGACTTATTACCACAGTCCATAAATTCACATTTGAATTTAAATAAAACAGTGCATGGCTTAGTATGTTTAAAATTGGAAATGTCCCTCCCAAATAATATTTTCCAAGACTTGTCTTAAATTAGCTATTTCCAGGCAACTATGGAAATCAAACTATCTTGTCCTTAATACTGTATCTTATTCTCATAGTATTGAAGTAGCAGTTGGGAATACAGGGAGACCTTGACTTATGACCATAATTGGGACCAGAATTTCTGTTGTTAAGCAAAACAGTTGTTAAAAGAGTCGTGCCTGATTTTATCATCTTTTTTGCCATGTTTGTTAAGCAAATTATTGAAGTTGCTACATGAATCTGGCTTTCCCAATTGACTCTGCTTATTAAGTCAGCTGGGAAGGTCGCACAAATGGTGATCACATGATCTTGGAATACTGCAGCCATCATAAATTTCTGTGCCTGAATTTTGAACACATGACCCTGGGGACACTGTAAGGCTTGTAAATGCAAGAATCTGTTAAAGTCACTTATTTCTGTTAACTTCAAACAGTCACTAAACAAATAGTGTAAATTGAGGACTACCTGTATTACTGCCCCACCACCGGCAGCACACAGATATATCAAGTTCTCCAGTAGCATCCTAAAGCTCATGAATACAGTGGAGAGGAAAAAAACCAACTGCAAAACTGTAGTGT